ACATATATATATACACACACATACATATATATATACACACACATACATATATATATACACACATACATATATATATACACACATACACACATACATATACACATACACACATACATACATACATACAAAAATCAAAGATAGCAATTCTATAGCAACATGGTCATTTCATCGAAAGACAGAGGATACGTTCTACCAAACTTCAGTAGCTACTATCAGGCAGCTCAACTGAGGAACCTGGTGATCTGAAGATCTTGAGACAAGATGGGCACAAATTTGAGCAAAAATCGACATCTGAAGGTCATCTCCCAACATTACTCTCAATGAGTTAAGCCCATTGGGGAACATTTAAGATGATGAATAAATGCATATTAAATACGCTTTGAAAAGATGGGCAGAAGCCGGAATGCTATCAATCAGTGGATGGTAATGTACTGCTAAGATCACCAAAACAAAGCCCCTCATATAGGTTTACACACGAGGGACAAATAAAGTACTGGGAAGGCATAGGTGCGAAGATCAAACACACTTCAAACATAGGTGCGCCTTCAGAACTGTGCTACTTCATACAAAGAAATGTAGGGCTACTGGCTAACGATCCATGTGGTAACAAAATATACAACTACTGCTAATTGTGAGAAAAAAAACGATGCCTCTGTTGGTCCCAAAACCAACACGATTGTGGAAAGGAAAGACACACACCAGTATATGGAATGAAGAAGGAAAACTCTAAAGGTCCTCTGTTCCAGTAGAACCAGATTAGGGTATTACCTCGACTCAATTTGGTTAACCATCAGACCCACTGGTTATACCTTTTGTATTCGGTTTTAATGTGTGTGCGCACATGTAGTGCATTTATGTGCAGGTACACGCAAGTATAATATGCAAGACAACATCTACAATAACAACAGCAACACTACCATTAAAGGGTTCACGTCAAACCAGTAGTCATACACAATTGTCCTACAAGTCTTGTTGCGAAGAGATGTTAATGATTGTGTTTTTTAAAAATGAATTATATAAAAAAGCAGACTATTTTTATCTAACCAACAGCACAGCACATTCAAACTCAACAGAATCTACAATCTACAGCCTCCAGACTGACAATCAAGGTGAAACTCTAAAGCTCATTAAGATAGGACTTTTTGCAAGGTTGTTTAATTAGTGTGAATAAAATGACAACTGCATTGCATGTGGTCTTCCTTGCCCTTATAAATGGAGCCGTGCTCAGTGCTCTGCTTGTTTTCTTAACAGGTGTTATGTAGAAATCTGTTCCCCGGTCGAAGCGCGTTTCCCTCCTGTTAAAATGATAGCGCCCCCCTTGGTGGTTAGGTTAAGCGATAAGGGTTGGTTCAGTGTTTTTTTTTTTAGGTAGGGGGAAACTCATGTCGACGAGGTAACAGTATTCAACACAACACCGGCAGAGCAACGTGTCGACGAGGTAACAGTATTCGACACAACACCGGCAGAGAAACGTGTCGACGAGGTAACAGTATTCGACACAACACCGGCAGAGCAACGTTAAGGGACCGAGGACGACTCATTGGGAGGTCTTCTTTGCTAACCAATTTTAGCATTGAGGGCACTCACTGGTGGCCTTTGTGGGATCAACCCACTAATGAAATCAACACACACGTTTCTCTACAGCAGACTGGCCTGCAGACGTCACATAGCTACAATAACGCTCAATGACACAGCGCTGCAGACATGTGTAGTTAAGTTCATACAAACATAGAAACGTTATGTTATAATAAGCGGGCACGTGACGTTTAACAGTTTGCCGTTGTGAACGTCACTGAACAAGAGGCTTTTTGATAACGGTATCGGTGTCCTGCTGCCATGTTGTCGTCTGACCGCTACTGCTCAAGACAGCGTGCCAAACAGCTCTGCCCATAGCGTTTATCAGAAGTTCCTTTGGCGTCATTATAATAACACGCAGCACAGCTCCTTGCATGGTGATGCCGCCCTTTTGAACGGACACCTCTGCGGCCCGACAGAGGGGGTCGAAACATTGTAATATTACCTGACTGGATTTGGGTTTTCTTTTTGCGCGCCCTGTCATTTTCTTCCTCTTGTCTCCCCGTCGCCGTCTTCTTCTACCGGTCGGAATCAGCCGCCACTGCGCCGCCGCCTTAAAGCTCATCACTGCCCCCCGGAGGCCGGGATCGTGAAGTGCAACAAACGTGTCACTGAGCTTGGACATTGGAGGTTGATTTGCACACGGTGTGTTTTCATCTTTATCTTGATAATACTTGTCTTTACATACTTTACTCTACATTTGTATACTTACATACAAAGGGTTAAAAAACATAGACATTATTTATAAATTGTTGACTTAACATTGATTTTATAACTGACAGTCTGTAGCATTTTTTCTTTCACATAATTTGGTGTTGTGATTATGTTTTCTGAAGGCAAATGCCACATTTATACATTACAATTTTATGTTTGAATGGATATGTTGAAAAACAATCAGCGCACACATTAAGCGTAGTTTGCTGAGAAATTCAGAAAGAAAAAGAAGGAAGGCAACTAATTTTCATTCATTTATAATGCTTTATAAACACCACTGTTACTACAGGGTGACAAAAACACCTTTCAGGATTGCATGCCATAATAGGCATTGTGAGATCATAACTATACTGAGCAGCCACGGATAGTTTTGATGCCTATAGCCCAAAATACTCTACAGATAGATAGGGTATGCAGTATACGGTAATTACATGACATGGTCTGCATTGACACAAAAATGCAGATATAGAATGGAAATTATAATTTTCTTGTCCTTCAGTCCTTTGAAGATATTGAAACACATCTACTGATGTGTGGGCACTATGCAGATATTTAGTCAAGTTGTGTCCAAGAGAGGATGGAGAACAAACAGGTGCACGTGGCTAAAATGCCTTTTGTGTCTTCATCCTCTGTGCAGTCCCCTATTCGTCTGCCTGCGTCTCTTCCGCCGTGTTTTTATGTGTTTCCAGGGTTACGCAACAACTATTTTCACAGTCCTCTCTCTTTGCAGTCTCAGCAAAATGCATCCAGTTATGTCTGTTCTTCTTACAGCCACTCAGCAGTGGGGAGCAGGCGTCAAACAGTCTCGATACAGCCTGAGGGACACAGAGACAGTGAGAGTGTGATCATGGGAGTGATGGAAGACTGGAAATTAGAGGATAAGAGAGTGGAACAGCGTTGAGGACAATGCTGTGGTTTTTGTTTCCCTTACTAACGCATGCATGTATACCGCTCGCATGCATCCGCACACGTGCAACAGCCGCAGGAATAACACACCTTGTAGAGTGGATAGCAGATGTCATCGATGTATTCCACTTGCATGTATGGCAGTCGAGTGCTGTTCTCTCTGTTCATTATGTCCTGGTGAGAAGAGAGTAGAGCTGGCTGTTAGAATAGGACTATTTCATAGGAGCCCGGAAGAATTGTAGACGATCTAGTCAAACATAGTATGATGTAATTACATGATTCCACTGTCACTGTTATCAAGGTTTGACACCGGCTGGGTAGGTGTAATGCTGTTTTTTTTAAAAGCGTCCTCTTATATATGTTCTTTAAACTGGGACTAAAACAAGCCAGGAGGACTCTTCAACTGAAAAACCGCCTGCATCAGGGAGGTAAAATAAACATTTTGGGATGAACGTGATTCATATTTTACCATACAGACGAGTATAAAAAAATGTATAGTAGTTAAATAAATGAAACAGCTTATTTAAATCAATTTATGATTAATTACTGTGTATTTTCTACTTTCTTGTTGGGCTTTCTATATAACCACATTTTCACAAGCCTTGGTACAATATATAAATGTAATAAGAAAGAAATCCTGCGAGCGAGACTTACAATGGGTTTGATTTTGAACTCCTTTTTCTCTTTGTCCCCTTGTGCAAAGAACTCCATGGTAACCAGGTTGGCAATCTGTTTCGGAGAAAGAGGGAGGTCAAGGCTTGTGATGAATTCAAAACGACTCGGAGATAAAATAAGGAAGTATATTCAGATAAGAACCGTACCCTTTTTTGTTCCGGCCAAGGCTTTGTGATGGCAGAGAGGTCACTGGCTGTCATCAGCATCGACCTGTGGAGTGAACAAATATCTTAAAGGAACGGCCCTGTTCCACCACAGATATCATTATCATCATGTATGTGATTCTCACCTCAGTAAATCTCTTTGTTTCTCACTCTTCCAGCTCACTCTGCTTTTCTTGGCGAGAGAAAAGAACTCCTTCCTTCTCCTTAAAAGAAAAGCAAAAAAAAAAAAGGGGGCATCAGGGGCGAAAAGAAGAGGTTCACAACGCTTGAGCTATGCTACTCTGTACATTTCCTGTTTTAACATACTCCATGTAGACGGTCAGGTTGGTTGCGAGGATTGCCCTTTTGATCATGTGTAGGACAGCTCTGTGGTCTTCTGCAGAGAGACCGCTGAGAATCTTACTCCCCTGGGAGAGGACGAGAGAGACAGCGACTGAGAGAATGAAGTTAATGAAGACTTGAACTCAGGCATGAACACAAGCCGTCTGTTATGAGAACAAAGACTGTGTCCACACTTTGAATCAGACTTTTTTTTAAAAATAATAAAGACCACTTAAATGGAGACTTTGCAACATTTCTCTTGGAGGATATCCGGCGACATTACAGCTTTTGCATGGTATGCTCTTGTTGAAGAAACATGAGAATCCTAATTGAAAGCAGACGATATTCCAAGTATTCTAATTCTATACAAACAATCAATTCATATATAAAACAAATGTCAAATAATATATCAGTTTATCGTCCAATTAACTGCATTCCTCCTCGGTGTATATCTTTAAACGTAAAAATCTTTGGTGTGCCTGTGTGTCATGCAAAGTTTGATTTAAAAATGACTCCAGTAAAGAGACGGACAACGACAGATCGATAGACGGATACGGAGTCCAGTTATGTGTGATATTGGAGATAAACACAGTAGTATATTATGGTTTACAAGTAGTTGGACATGATGAAACAGGTAAAGATTGCGTGCATACACAGCTGACTCAGAGGTTTAGAAAAAGGAGATGGAGTTCAAAATGAATAAAAAGATGAATGGATGAGGTCTTACTGTGTTGTTTAGGATGAAGAGGCACAGGTTGTAGTGGTGGTTTTCAAGAGACGAGTGTCCGTAGAGCTGAGCTAAAGGCTGTTGGCTCCTGAGAGAGAGAGAGAGAAACAGAGAGAGAGAGAGAGCGAGAGAGAGAGAGGGGTTTGGTTTAAAGTGTTCCAAAGTGTTTGAGCCAATCAATTGCTGGTCATTTAAGAGCACTGGGACTCAAACTCAGGTGAAAAAGTGCATTGTGCGTTCAGTAAAACCATACTGAGAGTCCATACAACTGTCCAAACCACGGGAGCAGGGCAGAACTGGGCCAATAACCCTTCTCAATAAAAATAAGAACAATCAAATGTTGGAGCCACATGGTAGAGTCAGATTCAGAGTCCCACCAACACAGAGCATACTAAGAGCAGCGAAGCTATCTGAACCCAAATAAATAAACCTGGAATGGAACAATTGAGGAAATCATATTTGTATGTCTAAGTGATGCTATGAAAACACCTACAAATTAAACAAATAGGCAAAGATAATAAATTAAGATATTAGTTTAATATACAATGAATAAACAAACTAGAATGCTGAAATTTACTGAACAGAGAATTTCAATTTGCTCAACATTTAACCCAAATAAATCAACCTATAAACAAACCGTTACTAGATTTATACTTAGTGACCATCAACTCGCCATTGAAACTGGTCTCCATAACAGAGAATGGCTACAAAGGGAAAAAGAGAATTTGTATCCATTAGATATTAAAACAGGAGAAGTTGACGCAGAAGTTAATCTCACAAATTAGTTAATTAATTTGTCCTCAAATTTAACCAGAAAACTGTGTTATCTTCCAAAAGACAGCACCACAGTAGAAATGGCAGGAGAATATGTTGTTTTGTGTCACAAAGCAAGAAATATATTTTATTACTTTTATTTTAATATTTTATATATTTTTGCTTATTTTGTATTATATTGGCTGAATATAAGAAGGCTGTGACTGACCATTGACAGCATAATCAGTATAATACTGGATAAATATAACTACAAATATACACAGCCATGGAAAATGCAGCAAACATGAAAGAAGGGGAGGTATAGTGTTTACCTTTCTATGTACGAGTTACTGACTCCTCTGTGGTCAAGATCGTGACTCAGAGTGGCGATCATCAGCGCTAAGACCTCCAGACGGGAAAAAATGGTCTGAAATACAGCAGAGAGAGAGAGAGAGAGAAACAGTAAGGAACGTTATTTCCCTGCTTTTCTACGTGAAAGCCAGTTTCATCTGTAAAGCATATTTATATTATATTGCTTTAAGAACGAACATCACAAAGTATCCAAAAAAATTAGCCCATCAACCGCCGCCCCACAACAAAAATCTTGAGGCACAACACAGAACATAAAGATTAGATCAAATATAATTGTGTTAACTTTTTGCCATGGGTTATTCATGTGCTGGTGAAAAGTTTACACCAAAAATCTCAAAACATGTTGATAAAACGCTCAAACTTAAAAGAAAAGAAGAGGATGCTGATGTATGATTGAAATGGAATATATATCCTAAAAACCATTAATAATATACTAAAGATAAACTTATTTTTGTTCCGCAGAACTTGGCCATATCACGTCTGATTGATTGACCTAAAGAACCCAAACACCTGACCAAACACATGAATATTAGTTTCAGGCTAAAAATCAATATAATTTGCATGAATACCTGTAAATCAAACACTACAGCTACAATCATTGTCATTCCAACTCCTTAACTACTACAACAACCCACTAGAACATCCAATGTGCAGAGCCCTGTCACATCAAACGGGATGAAGCGAGTTTCACTGCACCACAGTCACAATTAATCATGTTATAGAGACACGGGCAGAGAAAAGGAGAGAGAGAGACTGAAATAAGTGAGTGACAGAGCTCACTTGAGCAGAGATTTAGGCTGGAGTGTGATCCCCATGGAAAGCAGTTAAGAGGTTTTGGGGAGGTCTAAAAATGAATCCTCTTTCGAATAATTAAGAGTGTCCTGTACCGGAGGAACCCTGCAGGCCTTGAATGACTCCTCCACAAACTGAAGAAGTTATCTGTACTTCAAAACAACAAAAGAAAGATGACGAGCAGTGGATGCAACGTGAATGGACTGTCAAGACGTGACAGCTCCACATAGTCGATTGTCACCAAAATTAGGAGACGCACACATTTTCCTGACTGTACTAAAAAGAGAATTGAATAAAATAAATAAAATGCCCTTTTTTTAAACATTTAGACAAGATAAGATAATCCTTTATTAGTCCCACAGCGGGGACATTTGCAGGATTACGGCAGCAAAGTGGACAGTGCAACAAGAGACATCAGTAGACAACAAACAAAAAAAAAACCCAGCAAAGATATAATAAATATATAAATCCCCAAAAACAACAAAAGCTAAAAATACAATATAATCAGATTGAGTGGTTGAATATACATTATTGCACATATGAGGTAGGATATATAAAGTATTTATATTATTCATAAATACATTGATATTGATACTGAATGAATGAATAACGAGTAATGTTTTGCAAGCACAGTAGTTTGGCAATGAAAGTTACATTTTTATCTTAGCTTTGGTAGTGATGGCTAATTGTACGTGCACATGAGCAAAAAACACACGTAGATGCAGGCGTGCACTAACCTGGAGTTGGTCTGTGGCCATGAGCATAGCGAACATGCTTTGAGCAGTGCTCAGCGCATGGTTCCAGTTGTGATAAGGCACGTTGTTCCTGTAACCACGTCTCACAGTCAGGACCCACTGGCACAGACTCTGGAAGGGAAGAGACGTGTACAAGAGGTGGTAAATAACCAAAGAGGGGTCAGTTAGAACTTCGAAAGAAAAGCTACAAAAAGTGAGAGCTGTTCACTGTAAGCTGCTGCTTCTGTCAGCTGCAGGCTGCTACAACAGCAATTTTTCAAATCTTTTAGTGCCACCTAGGTAAAATTGAATTAATTACTACAGACTTGTTGTTCAGTGTCCCCATGTGTACGACTTTGCTGAATTTAGTTACCATGGAATATTAGATAATAATTAGTATGGTGGTGTGTTGCAGCAAGCTGCTGCTCTAACAAAATACTGGAAGCTCAGTGGTATTGAGAGTACTCCGAGACTGGTGTTGCCCAAGGGTGGGATTGAAACCCTGGCCTCAAAATTGTGGCATAGCCTTGCAATCTTTAGCCAACATGTCACATTGTAAAAAAACAAGCAAAATCTGAATACCATAATAAGATCAAAGAGGGCTGGCTGGAGTCACATTGAACGATAGTAAATGATAAACATCTAAATCAACTTTGTTCACAAGAGCCATGTTGAGAGTAGCAATGCCCATGAGCCAGTATCGAATCCTCAACCATACTCTTTAATCTTCAACCCCTTCAATAAACTCATTTTAAGCAATGTCTTTTTCCATATTGAGGTGGTATCATGGTTGAACAATGGTGGCACTGCCCTCTACCATAAAGCATAATTATCAGCAGGTCGGTTACCTTGTAATTTATGTTAAAATCCTGCACCAAATTGAGGTCCAGGAACATGCGAACGGTAGCCTGGGAGGTCAGGTCGTCTGGCAGACCGAAATCAGAGAAATGGAAGTCTCGGAGTTTTAGCGATTCAACAGTAGGAATCGCAGCCTCCTGAAAACCATAAAACACAACATTAAGAAAATCTATTGAAATATACACTTACTTAGGCACAGCATTCACACACCCACAAACACAACTAACAACACAAGATCTATTTTTCTACATCTTGCCGACACGGCATACGTATACAGGTAAAATCATGTTTTATGTTTAACATGGGTGAGGAGGTTACAATCATAGACGCTAATCATTGAGCATTAGTTGTCAAAATGTGACCTTCAGTGTAATGACCGGTTGATTCCAGGACTACTTAACAACAGAGAAAGTGGATGAGGAAAGGTGGTGGGAAAAGGAGGATTAGAGGAACTGAATGAGGGAGGATGTGGTGCGTGAAAGAAAGGGAAGAGGACAGGTGAGATTGACCACTTTCTTGTCAATATTATTTATGATATTACGGTGGGGGGCCGACGAGGCAAGACTGAACTGAAAGAAAACATTAGTTTCCACCAAAAGAAAGTTAACAATCACCTGAAGGGCTTGGATTTCCTGCTCCGCCGCGGTGATGTGGTAGGCAAGAACCTATGGGAAAGAAGAGAATTTGAAGTTGCGATAGGTTCACTTGGCTGCAAGCTAAAGATGTGAATTACAAAAACTGGGTCACCCACCTCCTGTGTGACTTCTATACTGGCCCTCCGCTCCTCGGTGATCTGCTTGGCCTGAGCATACTGCAGGGCCAGGCCGCAGTACACCGCCAGGTCCTCTAGCAGGCGCTCATCATATCTGTTAAAGGCTTCCACCTCATCCGAGTCTCTGCTCCTCTTGTTTTTCAGCTGGCACACCGCTATGTGACAACGAAGAAAAGGTAATGAGGACAATATTCATGAATCACTTTGTATATCTGCCATGTATCACGACCTTTGTCACTCTCGCAAGAGACTCACCAATGACATTTTCGGACCTCTCATTTCTGACAGGGCAGCAGATCACACTCTTCATTGATTCCTCAGAAATCTCCGATATATTGAGTATTTCCGTGGAAACCAGAGTTCGAACGGCATGTGATGGGTCTACATCTCTGATGTCACGCTCCCTGAAAAATGACATGAAACAAGTTCCACTATGTCTGATGATGATAAGGCTATACATTCTCTGTCTTAATGAATCGAGCAACAGGCAGAACCTTCTGTAGATCTGGCAGGTTGATCCGAGCTCTTCACACTCCAGGTGGATCACTCTGGAGAATGAAACCTGAAATAAAACCACCAGAGGAACAGAAAATGCCATACATTAGGAAAGATATGACTTGATTATGTAAACAAACAGAAAACAGGAATCAAACAGGATAATGCACCTGGTCTTCCACAACTGAGCTTTTCTCACTGGGGATGAAGATAGTGCAGTACTGAGCATGTGTGAAGGGCATGATGGTGGCAGCCATCTTACTCAGCAGAACTTCAAAGGAACGGTGCTCCTTTGACAATACCTGTGCCATCTCTATCAAGACCTGACATAAACGCACAAACACACGTACATATACATAGTTAGATTACATAGACATACAAACGTACATACGTACATACGTACATACATACAAACATACACCCATACATACACACACACACATACACATGTAAAAACATACATACAAACACACATACATGCAAACACACAAGCAAACACACAAACATACATACATACACACGTACAAACATACATACATACATATACATACAGACATACATACAAGCATACACATCGACAAACACACATACATACATACACACACACGTACAAACAAACATACATACATACACACAAACATACATACATACACACAAACATAAAAAAATACAAACATACACACGTACAAACATACACACGTACAAACAAACATACATACACACAAACATACATACATACATACATAAATAGATACATTTAGATAGAATAGAGTTCACATTGTTCTCTAGTTACCTGACTGCGTTTGGCCTCTTGTCTTGAGCTTTCATACAGCTGGACATTATCCAGGACCATCCCCAACACATCCATATGATTTGACAACACCTGGCGTATCAAATTCAACTCAAACTTAACTCAAATGTATTGCTGGCAGACAGCAATTAGCTTCTTAACAAAATGTGTACGTATTTAGAGTTAGCATTAAAATTGGAGACATACATACATTACATTATAAGTAATATACATACATAGACAACAGCTCTAACATGTGCTGCTCTGTAACTACAGGCCCAAACCTCCCGTCACACACCTTTTCATCCATGTTGGTAAAACCAGAAACCGATCCATCGCAGCTATTTCTCTTGTTAATCATTACAACTACACCTACCACCTGTCCACAAAAAGAAGATGTGTTTTATTGTTACACAATCTGTGTTGCAATGCATTGCACTAAAGGTTCCATATTGGGCAAAAGACACATGTCATATCATTTTGAAAACAATTGTTCCAAATGTTACCTCTCCGCTGTGGTTCTTGATGGGAACACTCAAAACTGTCCTGATCTGTGGCGATTCATCGTCATCGAAGTCAAATCTGGGGTCCTGAGGACGTGAACAGTGGAAGCACTTCAGTACATAACACTGGAGACAATTACATCACCTATTTATACTTAATTGCAACACATTTGTGTGTGTAAAACATGTGTATTGCATCATTGTGCGAATTAAGATCTTTATGTAATTTGGCAGCAAAAGACTTTAACTCCTACCCTTACTTAACTCTATTCATACTCCAGCCATCTTAAACTATTCGGTCAGTATTGTTCATTGGCGTCAGGGAGATCCAGCCAGGATTACCCGTGTTTCCCAGTAACCTTAGTGTTCCACAGGTTAATATAAACTAACAACCCACACCTACGCTACCTGCCATTGCTGCCAGGTGTTGGCACCAGCTCCTAATCACATCGGTGGCGAGGACAAGGAGTGCTGGTGTGGGTACCTCCTGTAAGCCCTTAAGTGAGCTGTGCCGTCTTAGTGTGGGTGTGCGTATGTGTGCAGGTGACAGCATAGCATAGTACGGATAAGCACCCTCTCATTATTCAGAGGTTAATCGGTGGAAGAAGCCTCTAAAAGGATTAGGAGCAGGTGCGTCATCTGGGACTCCCTCACACACACCTACGCACTCCACGAAACAACCATGTCATCGTCTAAGAAGGGGTTATCAGGAACTTAGTGAATTATTTAGTGTACAGTCCTCATTATAAGATCATAAGATACCTGTGCCCTTGAACAAACTTGGTCATGTGTAGAAACGTGTCTGTTTTTAAGCAGAGCTTTCCCCAAAATGCAGAGTCATGACAACCAATTTGTCAGCTTGAAGGTTTACCTCTGATGCGTCCCTCAGGTTCACTGGTGACCCTGTAGCCAGTACACATCCCATGATACCCTTCACCAACACCAGGTGCGCATTGCCGCAGAGGTTGACCTCGCTCAAGCCCCCCGGCACTGTCGGGGCGACCACCTCCTCCAAGGTGTTCCTTCCACCACAGTCTTTCTTTACCAGAGAGAGGGAGCAACACTCGGCTGTCAGCAGCTCCCCAGCGTGCAGGACAGCCCCCTGGCAGAGCTCTGCGACAGAGCCCATCCAACCGAGACCCCCTCTCAGGAGCTCCGTCGACCATGGGCAACACTCCCCATGGCCACACGCTGCAACGTTTGCAGCAGTGGGACACAGCGGGTGAGGAGAGTGGGGCGAGTCGGGGGAGAAAACGGGAGAAAGAGGACGGCAGGGAGAAAAGGAGAAGCGGGACGAACGAGGAGAGAGGTGAGAGCAAGGGGAGTGACCGCCCAGTATATCTGGACTGACGGGATACCCCCAGTCGGGGTTGGAGGCGAAGGGTTTGAGCCTGTCCATCAGGGATGAAATGTTCAAGTGTGTGTCGGTCAGTGGAGAGGAAGATCTGCGATGGTGAGCCGCCCTGAGCATGTCGGAGTGGTCTGAGCTGCTCCTGGGAAACCTGGGCAGTGGAGTCTGTGCACCACTGAGCCTGAAGTCACAGGCAAGACAGATTAGAATTAACTCTACTACACCTGACACTTTAATAACATTTGTTTTAATTAAACATACTTTTAAGTTCTTTGTTTATTATATTTCATTGCAAATCTTCACATTTGCTATTTTTAAATGATCATTTACTATTGCACTTCGTTTATTGTCACGCACCAATCACCAAGCCAAATTCCTTGTATGTACAATAAAACCCGTTTCTGATTGGCTGGGAAAACACACAACAAATGGTTGTGGATAAAACATTGTCCTACTGCAATAATGTTTCTAAAACAATTTGCTCGGCTTTATTTACATCAACATGCAGTTTAGTTGTATTGCAGTCATGTAGAACTTTTCAAATCAATATATTAAGAGATGCGGCTGAGCTCAGTTGGAGAGGGTTATATAAAAAAAAGTAAATATCTTACGCGGAAGTTCTGCGTAAAAAGTACTCCCTCGTGAAGTCGGAGTGGTCATCCAGCCATGCCTCCACTTGGTCGCTTTTCAGACCGTCTCCAAACCTCTCGCCGCGCGTCTTCGAGGGGGGGCTCCACAGCGGTGAGAAGAACCAGCCCATTCCCCTCACCATCGGCGGCTCGGTCACCGTTTCCCCACAGAAGGACCTCTCCGCCCGGGCGGTGTCAGGAGATGCACCGTCTGGCTCCATGGTCTCCGGCGCTTTGGAGTGAAGGCAGGGCATCCCCTCGCTCAAGTAGAGCGAAAAAAGATCACTTAAACTCAGTTTATCGTTCGCGCGGATTAGTTATAGGAGAAAACACCTGCCATGTGGAGGTTGGTGAGGCCAACTGAAGCGACGTGCCAGAGAGGAGGGGAGTGACGTTGGATGACTCCGGGAAAGCCCGTGGAAATGATTGCGTCAAGGTAATCCTCCTGATCTTTAATGCTCAGCCGATCTGGCGCCACAGGTTTATTCATTAAAGGGAACTGATTTAAACTCCATTACATAATGAATGGATCGGGCCCAACCACGCGAGCTTTTCTCCATCATGAATTATAGATCAGGTTTGTCCCCAATAGTTTGCCAAGTGCTATAAGCAATCTGAAGAAAGTTCCAGTCTTTAAACTGTACATTTAAATTGAGTGGCCGTAAAAAGATAATTTACACGGTTGCACTTATATTAATAATTGCCTATCACATTATTGTAGACACCACATTGATATAAGTTATTTTTTGTTATTGTTTTGTATTTCTGGTTCACTTCAATGTTATAATATAAATTGTATTGTAATCTGCAAAAAATATCCAGAAATAAACTCAAGGCCTTCCCTGCATTTTAAAGAGTTCTTAAAAAAGGGACAGTCAAAATCAAAAATACACATTTTCTGTATTGGTATTAACATAAATCTAGATATTTTTGGTGTGAGTTGCCTTCTCTTCTCTATAATATGCAGACGTTGTTGTGACCAGTTTCATGTAGAAACTATTTTCTTTCGACCATAGTTCCTAAATGAAACTGCTCACAACACAGCCTGTGGATTATCTCGAGTAACCGAATCATGATTTCTGGAAAGAGACATTGCCATGAATTTTTCCAAATGTATTTTTTGGGGCTCACTGCCCCTTTAAAGTGCACCAAAACATGCACACACAATATTACCAAGATTAAAAGAGTGAGATGCTGGAATGATGTTATGTCAAGCTTCTAAAAAGAGATTCAAAAATATGTTTGATTTTAAAGGGAAGTCTTGCAGCTTGTCACCAACATGATCAACATGATAAGGGACATGCAAGAAAGAGTCAGAACAGCGCTTTCTGTTCAGGGAATGCCAAACAGTGCTGTAACAGGAAAAGGCTTATCAACGGCCCGTTAGTGAAGAAAGCAGCCTCTGACCGGTAACACTGTGGTGTCTGGAGAGAAACCATTGCATCGCATATTTTATTCTGAATATTACCAGAGTCATACATATCACTCAGTGTCTAACGGCTCCCTCTGCTGGCCTCTCCCTCCTTCATCATCTGCAGTGGGTGGATACCTGGGGTGACAGCCGCGTCGTGATTGGCCGCTCCAGGAGGAGGCTGCCATGACACGGTGGATGCTGCACGGAATCAGTTCCACAGCATCAGCAGGCGGCGAGACCTCCATCCTCCTTCTCGTTCTCCCTCTCTCTCTCTCTCTGTCTCTCTCTCTCTTTTATCCTCCTTTGCCTCTCCTCCTCTCACCTCCACCCTTGCTCTTCTCCTCTCCCCTCTCCTCTCCCTCGGACAGCAACGCGGAACTGGAGCGAGGCCTTCTCGGGCTGTCTGCAGCAGAGGACGCACACACACCAGCGGGGGGATAGCAGCAGCAGCAGCAGCAGCAGCAGCAGCAGCAGGCAGACTGGTAGGTGTGCTGAGGCCTGTCTCCCTCCTGCAGCACAGGGAAGACATTGCGTTCTCCTCTGATCTCCGTCAAGGACTATCTATGAGAGGTGTGTGTGTGTGGGTGTGTGTGCGTGTGACAGAGCAGGGATCTGGAAAGTAGGCAGGACCACCACACCCTGGGAGCATTTACTACCACTGCCGGAGCTACACTGGGTGAATGTAGATATTATCATCCTCTTCATCCTGCCGTCTCTGTGTGTGCATGCAGACGGGTTTATATTCTCTCTCTCTCTCTCTGCTGGAGCTGTTTGTTGTCTTTCCTCCACTCCATGGCGGTGGGATTTCAGTCGACGAGGCCTCGCGCATCTGCACACGTGTTTCTGTGCTAATGAGTGTGTTAAACGCCTAATAAAGGTCACACCATTTGGCATGCGAGTGTATCGTCAGCACCCGCCTAATGACAGCCCTCCTCCTTCTCTTTCCAACATCATCACCAGCCCTTCACATCCTCCACCTCCACTACTCTCCTCCTTTCTGTCCTCCCCGCATCTTCCTTTCCCCCTCACCCCCTTTTCCTCCTCCTTGAAAAAACCCAAACCCCTCTTTCTCCTGCCTCTCTTCATTCACCATCGCCCTCTCCATCTTCACGCCTCTTCTCCTTCCGGCTGGCTGTTTTTTCCCCCCCCGGATGCCTTGCTCCAGGCCTCTTCGCTAGGCCCCAGCAGCATGGGCGCAGCCTGTGCGGGGAGAGAGAGCACGGATCGGACCCTTCCACTCAGGACGGGCGCGTCGGCGGGTCACCCTCCCTCGGCTTCAGATGGGCGAGGACGCTGAGAGCCCCAAAATCAACCACACCTTCCTACGAGACTACGTCACTGAAGGTAGAGCAGGCGGCGGGTCATCCCCGTCTCCGGGGTGTCAGATAGCATGCTGGCGTGATTGAGTGGATTCATTTATTAGCTGCATGGGTGCATCATTCCTGCACTGCCAGGGGATGGATGTTGACTATAATCACTCCATGATATGATTTTGGCATGGTAAACTTGATTTCATGTTGGTTTAGAGTTTATGGAGCTAGTAGCACAATTAACATTCAGCGTTTGTTTTCTTGTCCCATTGAGAATTAATCCACGTCCGGTCCAAGCAGCATGAGTAAGATTTATTCTGGTTTTATTGTTTAGGATACTTTGTATTGATCCAGTATTTAGTTTTTGTTCATCTCCACCCCTGATTCATTTTCTCTGTGCCTACTTTACGTCCTTTCTATTCTGTCATCTCTCCTTCACCCTTACTTCCCTTATTCTAACTATTATCCTGCTTAATCGCCTCACATTTTCCCCATCTTCCCCCAGCTGATGTCATCTCTACGGTGGAGTTTAACCAGACAGGGGACCTGCTGGCCACGGGGGATAAAGGTGGCCGAGTGGTCATCTTCCAGAGAGAGACTGAGGTCGGTTTAACATGTAAAACTTCAAATTTATACCCAGGATATCAGCAAACAAGCATGAATGAATAGTTACTACCTATACGACCAAACTACAGCATTCTGGCATCACTTTGTAAAATAGATGTTCTTTTCTGCTATTTCTTTCACACATAAATATTCTTTCAAAGCTGTGGTTTTCTTCCTTATTTGACCCGGACAGTCCAAAGGGGAATCAGAGGAGGTGGGGGAGACGGGGGACTGTGGCGAGTACAATGTCTACAGCACATTCCAGAGCCACGAGCCGGACTTTGACTACCTGAAGAGCCTGGAGATCGAAGAGAAGATCAACAAGATCAGATGGCTGCCACAGCAGAACGCGGCACATTTCCTCCTCTCCACCAATGGTGAGAAACCAGTGACACCATCTGTACTTCCCAGTTAGGATGAAGCTAGTAGACATGTGTACAGTTTGTACTGTGAGATATCAACAGTGATTATGCATGCATTTTGATTGATATTAATGATAACATCTTCATTTACCTAGGTGGGATAATATATCATCAGACAGTTATTGGAGTCACATTTGTGAGGACATTAGTGGCACCAACCTGCCAGTGTTAAAACCAGAGAACCTAATCTGTGTATATTATTCCTGTCATGGATTTAATTGCCCTGAAATGCTCATCTGGACTAGGGATGCGCGGATCCAACTTTTTCAGTCTTGATACTGATACCTTGGCTTTGGTTATTGGCCGATGCCAAGTACCGATCTGATACCGGTGTTTAGTTAATAAACTGTATGTCTCACTATGTGGATTAGACTGGGATCATTCCTTTATGTGTAACATTGCTTTCCTAACTTTGTAAAATAAATGTAACAAATAAATACATAGACATAAATGTACTGAATTACGAAACCAGATCGGCCCATTGTCACGAATACCCGAACCATCTATTTGAGCCAGTATCGGACCACTAGTCCGATATCCGTATCGGTGCGTCTCTAATCAGGATTTCCTGAGAAACTGGCCACATGAAGAAGAATTCATGATCAGGTCTCTTCTCCACTGGCCGAGGCATTTAATGTCAGCTTTCTCTCAACTTCCTGTGACGTCCAAATATCTCTCTGCCCCGTCACAGATAAGACCATTAAATTGTGGAAGGTGAGTGAGAGAGACAAGAGACCAGAGGGATACAACCTGAAAGATGAGGAGGGGCGGATCAAGGACACCTCTACCATCACCTCTCTGCAGGTACACACACACACACACACACACACACACACACACACACACACACACAAACACGCAAGCCTGCTAACGCTCACCTTTATCAGCCACGTATCAGGTTGATGTTCCAAGTGCCGTCATATGACCCCTGACTCCATCCCTCTTGTCGGTCCTCGCCTCTGTATCTCTGTATCTAAGGTGCCGGTGCTGAAACCCACAGATCTGATGGTCGAGGTCCGTCCCAGACGAGTGTTCTCCAATGGGCACACCTACCACGTTAACTCCATCTCAGTCAACAGCGACGGGGAGACCTACCTGTCTGCTGACGACCTCCGCATCAACATGTGGCACCTGGGCATCACGGACCGCAGCTTCAGTATCCTAACTAACAGCGACTCGTTTTGTTTATGTCATGAACATTTTTTTATTATTGCACTGTGCTCCTGAACATCACTCTGGGCTTTCTATAACTCCGTAGCTCGCTATAGAGCTGATTTTAAAAAAACAATTGTAACATAGGGTATGAAATTCACATAATGAAAGTGCGAAGAGGGAGCTATCATTTTCACTGCCATCATTATACATTTGGCAGCAGCAATGCGAACATTATAATAGGATGATTTTTAATTCAAAATCTATTTCTGTAACAGGAGTAAGGGACCTTACTCTAGAATAAAGTAAAAATAGTGTCATAATAAATCACTAATATTTTGGGGTTCAGTTGAAGTCAGTGAATCTATGTACTAAAGTAAAGTTAGAACAAGAGCACAGTGAATCCTATGTTTGTTCGCGTGTTTGACTCCATCACATGAATTAACAGTGTTGATACGCACCACATACAATCGTGCCAAATGAATATACTTGCTCTCTGATTCTCCCGCACTCAATTCCACCTCTTTAAAATATACATTCAGTTGAACTACACTTTACATTCTCCTCTGAATTCATCCTTGATCTATATTTCATGTAAACGGTGTCTATGTTTGGATTTATGTTTTCATTAATTAAAGCGCTGTGTATTCAGCTCAGGCTGGAGCGTGTTGGACAAAGGGGGGGGGGGGGCATTTCCCATTCAAACGGAAGCTGACCTAGAAAATCAAAGAGGCATCTATGGAAGAAGAGTTTAAATAATTCACTTGGCAGTACACTTTCTTCTGAGCCACACAGGACCGCCACAAATAGAACAGAGAGGGAGCAGAGTGAGCATGCATATTGGGGGGTTGGTTGGGGCAGCATTTTGGGGGTTTTGATTATGTTTTGAGGTGAGAGCGCCGAACAAGTCGGTACTGAAAAATTAAACGTTTGTCTGAAACTGAAAAGCAACTGAAAAGGATTTTAGGTGACTTATCACTCTACTCTGCAAAGATTTTACAACATATATCATACTGTCTGCATACAGTATGATATGTGCACCTCCCAAGGATTTGCTGCCACCTCAGTGGTGTTTAATCCCTAACAAGCCTTTCTCTCAGACATCGTGGACATCAAACCAGCCAACATGGAGGATCTGACGGAGGTGATAACAGCGGCGGAGTTCCACCCTCACCACTGCCACCTGTTTGTGTACAGCAGCAGCAAGGGCACCCTGCGCCTCTGTGACATGAGAGCCTCCGCGCTCTGTGACCGACACTCCAAACGTGAGTAACGCTGTGGACATTGGAGAGCTTGTTTGCATCGATTACATTTTTGCAACGCAGAATTGAACATAATTGCTCTCGCGATACAAAATGTCATATTTGTGAATAATCGATCACTCTGTCTCTGTTTAGTATTTGAGGAACCTGAGGATCCAGGGAGCCGGTCCTTCTTCTCAGAGATCATTTCCTCTGTGTCGGACGTCAAGTTTAGCCACAGTGGGCGGTACCTGCTGACCAGAGACTACCTCACCGCCAAGGTGTGGGACTTGAACATGGACAAGGGCCCCGTGGAGACGTACCAGGTAAGTTAGCACACCCATGTGTCAGTTAAGATCTGTATAACCTGTGCTGATTAAATGCATGTTAATGTGGCCCTTGTAGCCTGTGATTGTTGTGTTGTTGATGAATGTGACATCCAGACAGATTTTGAAAACATGCAGTCTGTCGTAGATGTTAAGCTTTGGAAATGGTGGATCCATTGGACCACCATGTTTTGGTCTGAATCTACCCCAAGTGCCTTAAATTTGCATTATTTTTCATGGCCATCAAGGGGCGACTCCTCTGGTTGTTAAAAGAAGTCTAATTGTACAGAAGTCTATGAGAAAATGTCCGTACTTCTCACTTGATTTATTACCTCAGTAAACATTGTAAACATGAGTTTATGGTCTCAATCTCTAGTTTCAAGTCTTCTTCAATACAGCATGATGTTCATTTAGTAAGTTCTGGTCCATTTAGAGTCAAATAGACCATAAAGCAGGGTATGCTTTAGGACGGGGCTACCTTGTGATTGACAGTTCGCTACCACGGCGTTGTCCAGTCTGGGAGTTGTTCGTGTTTTCTTCTTACAACTTTAACAGTGTGTTTTGGTCACCTGAAAATGTCTTCTTCATTGTTCGGTTGCGCTCTCTTGTGTCACTTCTGGTTAAAAAAAAAGAGAGATGGCAGCGGCCAAAAAAACAAGATTGTGTTCGGCCAAATTGCCAAACTTGAGGCTTCAAAATTGTAGTCCACAAACCAATGGATGATGTCACAGTGACTACGTCCACCTCTTATAAACAGTCTTTGATTTACCCTAGACACTAAGGTTGACTGTGTGCTTGATCCACAGGTCCATGAATACCTGAGGAGTAAGCTGTGTTCCCTCTATGAAAACGACTGCATCTTTGACAAGTTTGAGTGTGTTTGGAACAGCTCAGACAGGTAAGGAGACAAGGATAGACAAAGCACAGTATACTGTGTGTCAGTGTGTTTCTGCTCGCAGTGATCCGCTGAATGCTCTGCCTCTGCCATTATCGACATCTAAATCAATCCCAGAGACAAGCTTTGCCGACGTCTAATCAATCCCTTTGCGTTCAGTTTCGTTATCTTCCCGTCCACTCCCTCTCCCCTCTGTGAACCGAGCATTTCTTCTCTTTCACCGTGCATTCAATATGACATCTCGTCATGTCAATCTCTCTCCTCTCCTCAGCGTGATCATGACAGGGGCGTACAACAGCTTCTTCCGGATGTTCGACAGGGAGACGGGCCGAGGCGTAACCCTGGAGGCTTGGCGAGAGAGCAGCAAGCCTCGGGCCGTGCTGCGGACCCGGCGAGTGTACAACGGCGGTAAGCGGCGCCGCGGGGACGTGGGGGTCGACAGCCTGGACTTCACCAAGAAAATCCTGCACATGGCTTGGCACCCATCTGAGAACATCATTGCCATAGCGGCCACCAACAACCTGTACATCTTCCAGGATCGCGTCAACCCGGAAACACAGTTACAGTGACAAAGACATGAACAGCGGCACAAATCTATATTTGGATGTCTTAGAGACGGCATGTGGACTGAACGGCCGTTATGAGAAGATTTAGTCAACAACCAGGCTGGTTCACAACATACTGACCGTTTGTGTTGATATAAGATTGGATTAATGATAAAATCTTAAGACTGTTAATATATTCAAACCCCTACAGAGCGTGTGTAATCCTTTTTTGCTCAACACTGAGATGAACTGATGCCTCCTGTACCCATCAGGGCATGTTTTTTGGTCCCACACTACTCCCACTTTTTAAAGATGTTTGTGTAACTGCTCCACCGTAGGGGCGGTAGGAGAGGTGCGGGGACACCTCTCCCTCTGCAGTGACTCAGTGCTGTTGACCACACAATGTTGCACTCCTCACTGATGCGCTCTTGTACCTTTTTTGGCACAAAAATGAAAGATAGGCGTTTCGTAGCAACGGACGAAACGTAAAGGTCCCAATGACTTTGCCAGAAAGTGCAACTAAATGTAAGCATTTTTTTTCACTATTGTGGAGTAGGAGTTGTATTATCGTACAGCTCTTCACAACAACATCCTAAACCTTTCTCTATCTGGGTCGCCAACAGCGGTTGAACCTCTCCCTCAGAGCAGTGCTCTTCGAGATTTCTCGTTTAAATGCCCTGTAATCTTCGCCCTATTCACTTTGCAATAATAGCACTGATGAAAACACAGTGCAAGCAGTATTCTTGCTTTCAAACATGAGCTCTTCTTCTACAGGTATACACTCTTTTTACTGTTAGCTGTAAATATTATGTGTTGTCTCTTTTTGTTATTATTATAAAGGCGGTACCAATTTTGGGTCCAGAGAGCTAAAGGATAAAAGAGGAGTACACTGCAGATCAGAAAGATTACGAGATGGAATTATATTTCAGTTGAAGACTCGATATATAGGGGATTTTTCTCGTAGCAAGACATAGATAGGTATTGCCAGCTGTGGCGATGGAGGGGGGAGTTGTGCACAAACCAACAATTACAGTTTTGTTATGTATATTGGGCCCGTATTGGGTTTTAATTGAAGTAATTTCCTTGTCTGAACTTTACATAATACGTGGTAAATTATCGTAAATGAGAGCGACAATGTGTTAGCGTCTCTCATACGCTCTAATTGAGGCTGATTGGTGATCAAATCTTATTCAGACAAATGTTTGATTTATGTTCAACGTTATGCTAATTGAAAAACGAGCAGTGTTCATTATGTAAGGCATAAGCACATGTTGAAGAAGTATCTCACAATCAAGAAAACGATGGATACCAAGCACACAAACGAGGCCCCTGATTCAGCCAATCGGAGTGTTCATGAGTGAGTTTGTGTCCGGTGTATTTGAAGGTCAGAGGTTATCATCAGTGCAATAGCTCATTATGTACATTGCTGAAATGTCTTTATCATTCAAACAATAGTCAAGTGAGTTTATCACATCACCGGTTCGTAATGTCATTATACCGTATACCTCACAGTGCCACATGCTACTCTGGAGTTAAAAAGCCCAGGATGTACAGCAGCAGTAGGGTCGATGTTTGTGTTGGGCTGAATTCTGTGACTAGGTCGAGATTTGATTGTTTACAGTGAAGTGCTTTGTCTTCAAGTGACCTTGGCCCCGATGGGATAATCGTAAGTGGTCTGGATGTGAAACTGGAGCAGGTGGAGTAACAGAATCAGTGCAGAGGTGGAGGCTCCACTTCAAAAAAAAAATATATGTATGTGCAAGCAACATCAACATCAGTTTCACAGTGTAAACCTTAAAGTGACAGTTCAACCCATAATCAAAAAAGGGATCCCCCCCCCCCCTTACCTGTAGTGCTTTTAATCAAGTTTGTTTTGGTGTGAGTTGACTAGTTTTGGAGATACCGCTGTAGTGATGTCTGCCTTCTCTCCATTATAATGGGACTAAATGGTGCTCGGCTTGTGGAGCTCAAAGCGCCAAAAAAAAATACACTTGAAAAACTCAACAGCAATTTCTCTTTCTGGAAATCATTTTTTTTCGTTAACGAACTATGGCTTAAAGAAAATAGTTCCTACATGAAACTGGTCACAACAAGGTCTGTATATTATCTTGAGTAACCAGGGTCATGATTTCTAATAAGAAACATTACTGAGAACCACAAGCCGAGTGTCATATGGCTTGGAGAGAAGGCAGACATCTCTACGGACGATATCTCCAAAATCAAGCAACTCGCACCAAAACAATCTAGATTGATAAATAGCATTACAGGTAAGAGACAAAATATGTATTATTGATTTTGGGGGTGAACTGTTCCTTTAAATCCCCAAGAAAAGAAGACAATTGTTCAAATGTATGTTCCACTCTCTCTTCTCACTTTTCATCACGGTTTACAGACGGTTACGCCTGCTGGCTAGCGTCTATATTTTGGTCTTCACTGTCCGCCATTGTTGTTAAATGCAGACACGATTGGTGTAACAAAGTCTACAACTCGACAAAATCCACACTGACAACCCACAAGAAAGTAGTTTCCATAGTGACAGGCCACCTGAAGCGTCGTACGAGTCGCCAGGGCTCAGTCCTCCAATGGCGAGCTGTAGTTTAGAGCAGGTCAGTTGTAATCACATCATAACCGCTGCCACATGCCACCAGCGAGAGGATTCATGTTCAGGAGCACAGCAGCAGCATGTTGCCATTACTCAATGCTACTAGCGTGTATATCCATCATACTTTAAAAAAAGACAAATCTAACGATACAAAAAAACTCAAATGAGGTGAATGAAAGGAATGTGCATTAATAAAATAATCAGACAAAAAAATGTGTCCTTTTATGTCTGTGTCTATATTTAATGGGACATCTTTTTTTTTCCTCATCAATGAATGACTTTTAGACCATAAATCAGAATAAAAGTGTCCAAAATGGGGAGCAGTTTAAAAGACAAGTTCTTTATTCGTCATTGCACGCTCCCGTAAACTCCATCACTAAAAAAAGAAGGCACTCAAATTCACAGTTTACAGGCTGTAAATCAATGATTGTCATTCACAGGTAAGTAGAGGTTACAGTTGAACGCTGTTCACATATATGGCTTTGTATTCACCAAGAGTGTTATATGCTGATTATCTAATCAGTTTGTCAAGATATTGCTACCCTGTGAAAACTGTGTATCTCAAAGAAAAAAACATTTTTCAGATAGTTCAGTTGTAATAATTGCTTTTTAAATAATTTTGCTGAAGAAGTAGGAGACTTTTTTCAACTAATAAACAAATTCAGTTTTATCTATACAGTGACTGAAAGCAAAGTTAAAAACTGTGACGTTTATTTTGGGTTTATAAGTGTGACTAAATTATCACAACATCACGGCAATGTCAAGGCACTCTGTACTCTGAAGCAAAACAAATTATTTCAAATATTCACACCGCTGGCTCTCTAGTTCTACGGAATGGATGCTTTTCGATGTTTTGGTGGTACATCTATACAGTCAAAGATGCCACCAAAGATTTTTTTCGAGGAACTAATACGTTAATTCATTTTGTTTCCCTGAGGAATTCAGTGGTGTTTATTTATATTAAATCATAATTAGAAGTCACCTCTCCAAGTTACTTAAAGCTACCATAAAGAACTTTCATTTTGTGTCGATTTTGGCGGCCCCTGTGGACGAAAGGGTTAGTGTTTCCAAGCACCAGAGTCCCTTTAAAAAAACTCTCATTTTACTGCAGCAGGGTCTGACGGTCCTGGTTTTCCAGTGCCTCCCTTCCCTCCAGCGGGCCCACAAATGCAAACTTTAAATGAGGTTGCTGCCCCATTGGCCATCTTTGCATTGGCAGATTGGTGTGTGAGCGTGTAAATCAAACCATGAAACTGAGACTACGACACTTTCACAAGTTTGTGGGCTTATAAACAGCCTCCCTTCAAAACTGAATTAATGTTTTATGTTTGCTTTCCAAATGCCATTTTATGTGCATTGTAATTCAAGGCACAGGACCATTTGATCATTAGTCACAAATAAGATTAAGACCGGAGCGTTTTAAGACCACAAAGCTAGACAAATCTTGGCTAACAGAGCCACAAACAAATATTCTGTCACACAACCTATATAAATAAATAAATAAATAAATAGGCAGATGCATATTTAAAAATGCACTAATGTAAACACACAAACTGTACATGCAAAACATACTCCCAATATTAAGACATTCCTTAATACTAAAGCAGCAACATTTATCTTAAAGATAACTTTTACTCCGATAATATTTCACTTTTATCAAATATACAGTGTCTCTAGGGATCAGAAGTGGTCAGCACCCAACATTAGTTTCCCTGCATATAATTTGGCACCATCAAATTAAGTTTTGTTCTTCTTTAGAACAAAACTTATTGAAACATCAACTTTCTGAAAGTAAGACCCTGGACACAAATAGAAGATATTTATTTTCTCTTGGCAAGAAAAAGTTAAGTCAAAGTCATTGTGACAATGAGTCCCAAGTGAAAGCTGGTATCTGACCATTTTTGAACTGCTTTCAAAATACATGAACTGAAATGATAAAATCTTTGTAAACGCATGCACTAGTACAGGAAGTACTTCAAATAAAATAAAATGCTGTCACCTAGCTGAAATGTCAACATAAAGGTGAGCAGTAGATCCATGTTGGATCAAATTGTAAACATTACCATAAGTCACATTAGTTACATGAACACATGACAAGAAAAAGGCAGAGATCCAAGTGAGTCATTATTGCTTGAGCTTCAGTGTCAGGCAGTGATTTTTGCAAACAGGAAGGGAGAAAAGAAAAAATCAAAAGCGAACTTTAGGGCTCTCATCGTGGTGCGTCTCCAGTCCCTCTCAAACTTCACCTGCCGGCCTCCAGCCAGCAGGGAGGAAGCACAGTCCAGACAGTGGATCGCCTTCAGCTCGAAGGCCGGAGCTTTGGCTCCTAGACGGCCATCCAGCTTGGTGCCGAACTCAACCATATCGCCGGGATTAAGGTTCAGCAGGACTTGCCTGAACTCATGGCTGGCCATTAGGATTACATCCCCAGTTGGGTCCCCCACACCTCCGTTCCGGAGCATCCCCACGGTCACCTCAAAGAGGTGGCTGTCGAAGCGCTTGATGTGGCAGGAGTGTTTGGCCAGAGCCTTGATCTGACACATCTCTTCCTCCTCTTGCATTCGGAGCAGTATGGGCAGCGTAACTGTTGCCGACGGCGAATCGGCTGTTAGGTTTGAGACAGTGGTGTTCTTTGGCTCGCATTTGGGATACGTCTCTCCGTACAGGCAGCGCAGCCATTCTCCCATGAACACCGGCAACATGTTGATGACCGACTGTGCCCCATTCTCCGTCTCGGCCACGCGGACGTGCTTGAAACGACCCGCCCACGTGACTCTGTGTCCGTGCAGGTGGCTGCAGAACAGCTGTGTCTGGGCCATGCCTTTGGTTTCCCAGGCGGGGGGCCCGCACACCTGGCTGTACTGTCTCCAAGTCAGGGTGGAATTGTACACCTTCTGCCCCTCTGCGTGGTACACGTAGATAGAGAAAAACAGGATCACCATGGAGATGCAGAGTAAGATGAGCTTGACTGGGCCGCGGTCGGTCAGTGAGCGGAAGACATCCAGAATGGACATGCTGAACCGCGTCCACAGCCGCAGGCTGACAGGGATCGCGCAGACTACCAGGGTCACGATAACCTTCGTCAGCTCCAGCTCCAGGAACCACTTCAAGAGCTGGATGAAGAGCATGGCGGCGAGGCCTAAAGCCAGAACGGGCAGGGCGAACAGGAAGAGGAAGTAGGCCACGCAGGTGCGCATTAGACCCACAATGGAGGAGCACTGGAGGAGCACCACGGAGAACTCGCACCACATGAAGCACACCAGGTATGGAACCAGGTAGCAGTAAGTCCCCTTGAAACCACGCATCCTGGCCATGCTGAAGGTGGAAACAGACAGGAGAGAAAATAAATGCTTTTGTGGACATATATTTATCAACAAAAAGCTGGGGTGGACTTTAAAGCCCACTGACACAATCCAGTGTCTGAACTTATGTTCAACAAACACATCCAATCGCCCCAAATGCTCCTGCTCACCTGAAGAACAGATAGAACAGATAAACATAGAGCAGGCAGGGGAGGCTGAGCTTCAGCACCACCGACTCCCCCAGTGGTAGCGTGGCCAAGGTGCGCCCCAGGCACCGCAGCACTGTCATGTTCTTTGGCAGGAACTGGGTCAGGCAACACAGAGATGATGCAACCTGGATTAAAAAAAGAATATCAAATGGGCGAGTTAATAGGCTACAGGATGCAAAACTGTGATTCTGATGATTTAATAGCATATGGTATGCCCGGTGTAGTGTGCCCCACTGACCTCTATGACCATGGCTCGGCGTGCGTACGTCGCGGCTGTGGGGCTGAGGCTCTTGTAGCTAACAGCAGTGAAGAAGATGGCCACGGTGGAGAGCTCAGAACAGGGGATCCAGCCCTTGTCGGCTACCGGGAAGGAGAAGATGACGAAGAAAACGGACAGGATGAAGTAGAGGTACGGCTCCAGGTTGTTCCACCCGAAGTTGGTCTCGGCCTGCTCCACGTCCAGGCTGGGTTCAAAATGGGTCAGCAGAGACGTCAGTGCTTTGAAGTTCTCCCAAGTCTGTGAAGGAGGATGTTAAAATGAATAAAGACATTGCTGAGAGTTAAAAAATAAGATTTTGAACATCCATAAACCCTTATTGCCAATTTTGAGACATTGGTGCTCTTAAGATCAGCATCCACTGGCCTCTCCACTGCATTCTGACAGGTCAGAAATGGTTCCGCTTTATAACATAATGATAGGTGACTTGACTAGATGAGTTAGTTTGTGAAAACAGGGATGGACAAATGGAAAACTTCTAAAATGTTTATCCACATTAGTCAAGTGAAAAACAATTGCAACTACATCATTGTCTTGGCAGATCAGAGAAACGTGTAGAAGCACAAAAGAAATCAGGCTCAATTGCCGACCGCAATCACCTTGCTGCTCTGGAGGACACGCAGCGTGCAGATGATCATGGAGATGAAGGACAGGTAGAAGACGAGCAAGGGGATGACGAAAGCGAACAGGTCGACCGTCAGGTTGCTGATGATGAAGAAGAAAATGAGCGCGTTGACGTGCTGCGTGGGGATGACCGTGCTCAGCCACTGGACGCCGGCCCGCGACGCCCAGTCCACCAGGTGCTCCTTCATCTCGACGATGCCGCGCAGCGGGTACTGCAGCACCTGGGCCGAAGACAGACAGACAAGAAGGGAGACCGCAAAAAATGAAAAACGCAGAAAAAAAAACTGGAAAGAGAGAACTGAATAATACAACAAAAATTGGACAGATATTTAATTAAGGATAATTCAAGGAATATAGAAGGAATTGTGATAGAGATGTGATTACCATTAAGCGCGACTTCATGTCCATGGCTTTTTTCATGGCCCTGTTCTGCCTCGTGTCCATCATCATCCCACTTCGGCCAAAACTCCAAGAACGTTTGAAGGCATTCTTGTATCCTGATGGCACCAGCTCAGCCTTGTGCTTTAAAACACAATTACATGCACACAAATACACACACACACACACACACACACACACACACACACACACGCACACACACACACACCAGTGTGAATAGTTGCAATTAAAAATAAAACGCCATCCATGTCCTTATGATGACGGATTATTTCTATTGTTGCTGATTGGGTCTTTTACCTCCCCGCTGCTGTCATTAGGTTTGGGGCTTTCAGTCTTGGCTGTGACCTGGCGGCCAGCTTGGGGTGATATACCTTGTGCATACTTTTTAGTCATCTCAACAAAGTCGTCCAGGTCCACCAACTGTGTGGCTGAGAGGACACAAAGAACACAGTTATAGGGTAAGACACATATCTGTGTCTCTCTTTCTCTCTCTCTTTGTCTGCGTACTCACACTCATTGCTGACCATGCTCTCCAGGACTTTCTGGGTCTGGCCTGAGGTTGGACCAGGAATCCGGCTTGCAGTGCTACCTGTTGGTGAGGGACGACGACAACATCAGTGGGTTACAAACATTTCCTTGGATGCCGTGTTGCATGCAAACTGATAATCTCCACCATGGCAGTTGAGAATACTGGAATGACAAAGGGGAATGATTTAACAGTGGCCATCATTATGACAACATGCCACAGCATTCTGGACAGTCTGTAGTACATAAGGCTGGATTGTCACAATAAAAAAGAAATAAAAAAAACTTGATGGCGTCTTTGTTCATGTGTCTGTGATCGTGTGCGTGCATCCTACCTTGCACTGCATTGACCTGGCTGACATTTTCCAGCAACTCAGCCACAGCCACCTTCTTCTTCCTGTCCGGGTTGAGTTTCCAGTACATCATCATGGCCGCTTTGCGCACCGCCAGCTCAAACCTACTCTCTGTTGACAACTTGCGCATGTCGGCCTCGTTCTCTGGGGTGATTCCTAGTGGAGGACAATGCACAGAAGGAACAGTTAAGGAGCAACGAACGCAAGCATGCACGAACAAAGTTTACGGTATTCTGTTACTTTAACCTTTTTTCTGGATCCAACAGCGCTGCAGTGCACTCGCAGCACCTTTTCTTCCCTGTTTAGCAGCTTTAATCAGCCAGTTAACAGCCAGCCGATTGTTTAGCTCTGTGTCCTTCTCTTTAGCAAGACTCAAATGGTGCTGACCCAGCTGAAACACAAGAAAAGGGGAGAATAATTCAGCTTGAGTGGGCTTTGTCTAAATAAGTATAATCGGACAATGTCCTCCATTAGTTTGGATAATCCTCAAGGCACTGGCTTTATAGGGACTATTTCTTCAATAGAAAGTAGCTCCAAGTTCATGGAACCCCCCATCTGGACAACAGATGACTACAAAACCCATAACTCCCTGTCCCTGTGGCCATCAGTGTCTCCGTCACGGCTGACTAAAACGGGCAGCAGAGGCCCCAGTGGCAGATCAAGTGACTGGTTTCTAATCTTAACTGTCATTTCATAACTTTCTTCTCTCACAGTTATCATTAAATGCGTCTATTTGTAGAGGACGAGATGTGTCTTTATTCGAAGTGGCTCCTGTTTGTGTCTATGTTAGATACACTAAGCATATATAATTTCATGAACCTGCTTTTATTAATAATAATAATGCATTTTATTTGTAACGCACTTTTCATTCAGAAAATCTCAGAGTGCCAGCGTGCATTGTGAATCGACAGTAATATCAAGCTACACTCATACAGTAACAATAAACTCTGATTCCCTGTGTATTACTGTGGAGCGGGTCTATCATGGTATATGAGATATTATTGGAGCCTCTGATCCATTCCTCATTGCATGTACATCCAACCATGTCACATGTTTGGACATGTTCTCTTACACACAGCCCCTGTGGTTATTTAGGTGTTTGGTGTTTGCAAATACATAACTTATTAGCGTGGGACGGCTAGAGCCACAAACAAACCACTTGATAGGAATTTACCCTTTCAGAGCTGCTGGCTCATCTTCCACATCTAGCCCCCCCCCCCTTCTGCTAGCACCTCTTTTTACATTTGTACTCGTTGGTAGAGAACGTAGAGCAAATAGAGTATGAACATTTCATTATTATTCCTACAAATTCAGCGCAGTGCTGAAACACACTGTAATAGTGTTCATAATGAGTTGCATGCCCGACAGTATTTCGGGGTATCATATTGAAAGCCTAAGGATCATCTTCCAAGTGGCCAAAAATAGACACATGCTCGCAACCAGACTGAGTCAACCAGCCGGATTGAACACAATGCCAAGTGCCAGTCTGTGTGCATGCGGGTAATAGAAACAGTGTGTAGTATTTAGCGGGGATCTATTGGCAGAAATTGAAAGTTTTCTTTACTGTATAATCACCTGAAACTAAAAAAAAGTTGTGTTTTCTTTGGCTAAGAATGAGCCGTTTATATACGAAGCGTGTCCTCTTTCTACAGCAGCCCAGAACGGACAAACCAAACATTGGCTCTCGATAAGTACATTTGAGTTTTTGAGTCGGTCACCATCGTGCTCCTACACGCTAGGCACACGGGAGAAGTTTTAGTTGGTTGCAATCTGCGATCTCGCCACTAGATGCCGCCAAATCCTACACACTGCACCTTTAACTCACCCGGGTCTGGGCTCTGGCGTCACCGGCTTTGGCCTTCTCCTCTATCTGCCCCAGGGTCAAGTCTTCTTCTGGTTCTTCATCTGGAGCAAACAGCAGGAGATGTCAATTAATCAAAAACCAATCTCCGAATCAATGGATTACATAACACCCTCGCCCCCATACTTGTATAGCGGTATAACTTTATTGAAAGAGGAGTGTGATTTTCACAATTACAGCGATGAACGAATCCCACCTGACATAGAATTTGTAGCATGAGAATAACAAGAAGTCAGAGGCGGAGTAAGTGTGAGAATCTGTCTGTCTATGCAGATATCTTGTGACAAGCCCCCAGAGCTCCGTCACACACACACACACCGTGCCCAGGCAGCTACGATTTCACATCATTACTTGTCGATTGCATTGAGTTTCATGAGTGTTAATGTCTCCCGAGTGTCCTTTAAGTGAAGGAGTTCATCTTCTTCGCCTGCGGCCCTATTTCAAATGTCAAAGTCTCTTATTCTCCGCATAATATCTCACTGGTGCAACCAGTTTGTTGGTTTCACTTTCAGCAGCTCTTAAATATAATGATGGTAAAATACCACAAAGTTTAAATGAGTATTTAATAATATGTTTACCATGATCGCCATCTTAGTTTAGCATGTTACCTTGCTAACATTTGCTAGTTAACCCTAAACGCTCAGCTGAGACAGATGGGTATGTTATTAGTTTTGCAGGTTTTTAGTCATGAACCAAAAATCGTGGACGATGGCAATCTATTCAATAGCTGTTGACATATTTCCCTAAAAGCCAAAAGTGCCAAACTGCTGGTCACTAGCAAAACAATAAGTCAAGGGATCACCAAAGTTGGTAGAATTCATCCTCTGGGGATGCGTAGCATTGAGAATTATACTTGTTTCTGTAAAAGCACATTTCCTGAGGCAGTGAGGGCCCTTAACTTCTCATCATGAACTCAACTTAAGTGTGTCCGCTAGCTGGTGTCTTAATGCACCGGTCCCTTGTGTTGTATTTCACTCTGATATTATTACTAGTATTTTTACATGTTCATGTTGGTTTTATTTGGAGAGTATTTTTGATGTCTATGCTGATGATGCTGTTTTGTATTGTTGATCAGTATTTGTTGTTTTGTTTCATTGAAATGGTAATAAATTCTTTAATCTTGTATGAAGAGACATTCTAAAACATGACTACGCGCGACTTCTGCTCTCGGCGCAACTAAAACTCACAAACAAAGGCATTACCTTCCTCCTCATCATTGGCATTGTCCTCGGCCTTCCGAAGTCTTTCCTGTATTATCACCCGCTTGGCCGTGGCGGCAAAGGTGCGTTTCACTGGGGTGGCGGAAGAGGCTGCGGGAGCCTCAGTGGAAGCAGTGGAGGAAGAAGTAGGGGGATCTGTCAGAGAGTTACAGGTCACGCTAGCTGATGTAAAGGAGGCAGATTTGAGCTTTGAAAGGGATGCCATTTGGGGGATTTGAGGGGTAGAGCGGCTGGGAGAAGAAACAAGTGGAGGTTTGCATGGAGGAGGAGAGGAGGGACTGGAAATGGGTTTGGGTGGTTTGGATGGAGTTAAGGGCTTTGACCCCTTTACAGATGGAGGGCAATCCATCGGTTTAGATTCTCTGGGTTCTGTTGGTAATTTGGCGGGGTGAGAGGGAGCAGCAGGGAGGTTATTGGAGACGAGTGAAGGAGGGGTCTGTATGGGAGGGGGAAGAGAGGGTCCATCCACAACAGGGCGTGGCCCCTGGGTGTTGACAGCAGTTGGAGTTGATGGGAAATCCTTCTCCATATTTTCTGGAAAAAAAAGAAAAAAAAAAAGAGCCTAAGTAATTTGTAGACAACCATACACTGCAGCAGAAATAATCGAGGTCATTTCTAATAGTGAGTCATGAGTGAAGACACAGCTGGCAGGGTTGAATTCGAGAACCTTCTCTGGATATTTTGCACCTTATGACACCTTCCCTTTGAAAGGAGAAAGAGTTTTGAAACAAACAAAACAAAAGAGGCAAATAAAAAAACTTTTAAACTTTGAAAGGAAACTACAGAGGGGTGACATTAAATCAGTTGTACATATGCATCACAATAAATGTGCGAGCATACGGGTACTTCCCGTTAAGCACATTCTCAACACTAAACCAAGACAGCTCTGACTAAAACAAAAAGAAAAGAACCCTTACTTGGCAACTAAACGAGCAGATTTCTTCAGGGCACAAAGTAAATTGTCATCCCGGATTCAGAAGTTCAGTCCGTCGTCCATGCTGAGCTCCGTGCGCTCCGCACAGTTCCTCGAAACCGGAGACGCGCACACTGACCGCGACCAAACTCTCATGTGTCTGGTCTTTAACAACACTGCAACTTCAAGGCCCCGCCCTGGCGGAATAGCCTCGCTCCCGATAGGGAGAAATAAACGCCAGTCTGACGGTCAACGTATCTGATTGGCTACTCTGCGCGTTCTCGCTTAATACCCTTGTGAAGGCCTTTTTTTTCTTTTCTTTTTTTTACCTATTGCGATCGTCTCCTTGAACGCTTTCTCACCCGTGTCTCTTTTTGTGGCTTTAAAAATAAATTATTTCAAGTAGCGGGGTGATGGGTGTATAATGAGGCTGTCGTTATTTCAACTGCAGTATTTAAGTAGATTATGGGGTTCCAGGTCAAAAGCTATATATATGTAAGCCTGCTCTTAATCGAGGCTGACTCTCTCCCATATGGCACCGGTTGACAACAAGAGGGACACACACACACACACACACACACACACACACACACACACCACGACGTGGAGACATTCAGCGATATTATAACGCGGTTACACTGTTTGATTGAAACAGCTTGATACTTCAATAAGAACCGATACTGCACATCAAAAGCATCGGTCTGAAATGCCATTTTCTATTAGATTTCATATAATTAAACATAAACTAATCTAAACGTAAACATTAGTGCCTTCATCATTTCTTAACGCCAGGAATAAGAATTCGAGATATCCTGCATTAATTCATGCATTTGATCATTATGAATCATGCGTTAGTTACGTATTACTCAAGCATATGCTTTGCACCTTTTTCATAAATAATAATCAGACCCACTCCCATATAGGCTATGCGGTGTATAGATGTATGCTAGTGTTAAGCTGCGTTTGTACACGAGCTCCGTAAACTACATTGTTCCTTTGGGAGCTGTCCACCTGCGCGAGTGCTGAAAAAGACAGCTCCCAGTTTTTCTCTCTCCATCTTGCGCCCTTTCCTAGAATCCCCATGGGGGCGCGTGAGAAGGGACAGTCGGTTTCCGCCTGGAAGAATGTCTTCTCGCATTTGCAAACATCCCACGAGCATGCAGCAGGCCTCCGGTTTCGGCTCAGTGGAGATAAAAGCACCCGGGAGCCCCAGTCAAGCCCCACTCCCGTGCGTGTCAACTCTGAGAGCACATGCCCATTTGACAAAGTGTCTCTCCCTCCAGATGTGGGTTAAAGGATGACACATGCTGGTTTAATCCGCTGATGTGACACGCACAGCCCCCC